TCAAAGAAGGTTTTCCTATGAATTAATTAGTAGAACAGTCCATTTCTCCTGTGCATTTGTACCCCTTGTTTCTGGAGAAAGCAGAATGAGAGCCGGCTCGCATTCCACAAGGTTGTAAATGTATCGGGTTACCATGAAACCAGGGTCTTGTTCGGCGTCCTGGGGTGTTACAAAGTATTTGTGAAATCTAGCTAACAAAATATATATTGTGTGTTGGAGTGGTCCAGACGCTACATAAGGTATAATAATATTTAGGCTATTAGGGGTAAAAAAGGCAAAAATATATCATTTTTAAGGGTACTGCTCCAGTGACAAGCTGTTGTACCCCAAAAGGTACAATTTTGGCCCCTTTTTTCTGTATATAAGACATACCTATACAATACATATACTATATACACCCACTACAAATTCTGAAACCACAGATAACCCTATTATTTAAATGGCCATCAAATAAAAATGTCTAAATCCTTGGTCTGGGGCCCTGGAAAATAATTAAAGGTTGTCTCTTGAACTGCACCTTTACTTCCCTTTTCCTTTTCTTCATTTTCCCCAATATCGCTGTCTCCATTTTTTTCTTGTACCTGTCACTTCTTCACCAGCTGGTCTACTGTTAAGATTAGAACTGTGTCCACCTTGTTGCAAAATGACGACTTTTTCAAGCCAACTTAATTATTGCTCTTCATTGTTAATTCATGATACTTACTGCATTAATGTTCATGAAATACCTTATTGCTTGTAATGTGTTATCATATATCTAAATATATCAAATAAAGTGATGTGGGGGAGGGACTATTTCAAACTCCAAAGTCAGTCTACGATAATGTGTACAGATAACAAAAAAGAAAAAAAATAGGAATCGCATATGTGCCTCAACACAGAAATTGCATATAGTGTCTCATATGTTTGATTCGAAGCCAATCAGATTAGAGCTTGGACAGACACTGGGTGGTTCCTCTGGCTGATGCTGAGTCTAATGTGTTGGTATCTTTAAATGCATATAGGAAATTAGATGATATTTGATGCATATATTTAAAGCATTTAATGCATTTTTACCCAAATTGTTAATTTATTTTATACTTCATACATTTGCTCTCTGAAATGTTTCGGACATGACGATTGTGTACTTTTAGCCATGAGCATTATAATGTCTGCACATTATGTATAATGTCAGCGCAGTGAGGAAGGAAAGATGGTGTGTGTGTGTGTGTGTGTGTGTGTGTGTGTGTGTGAGGGTTCAGTCAGAGGTTAGCTGTCACTGAGATCCAGGCAGTGTGCTGTGGGAAACAAAAGTAAATCAGAGCTCTCAACTGGAACCTCCCTCAGACCATACGAGCTGATCCCAGAGTGACATTAACTTGGTTTCACTCTGCTACAGTGAACCCCAGACACAGCAGGCCCACAGCCAAGAACATCACAGCATGTGAAAAGTAAGGCGGCACATGCATATGTACAAATGGAGACTCAGTTTTAAGGCATGTAGAAAATATGAATTTTTTTATTCATCTTTCTTGCTTTCTCTTCCACTTCCTTTCTTCCTGTAAATTTTTAATGCCCTGATTTTCCCAGATTAAATTGGATTTCACATGATTAGCTCATGAAGAGAAAGAATGAGTGTGGGTAACCCCTCCCTTTTCTGTCATCCAGGCAAGAGCCTTTCTGGAAACCTGCAGTTCCGCACACTTCTTGTGGGATAATACAGGCACACTTAAGAAGAAGATGAACTAGGAAAGAGAAGAGAGAGAAGGACGTCTAATAGAGAGCATCAAGGCAAAAGAAATGAGGCATATTGCTTTTTATTGCTCAGTAGCAGTGTGATGTAAAACACCAAAGTTCCATAAGTGACGGATTGTCCAATCCAATGTTTAAAGCTTAGAAATGTATTTATGACTTTTATGTAAATGGTGAATTTTCAAAACATTTAGCTCTAATTTTGTACTAAACAGTTAGCAAATTTGTGATTGATCTTAACCTTTCCACTACACTTAATAAATGTTTAATCTCTCTCTCTTTCTCTCTCTCTCTCTCCTTCTATATATATATATAGAGAGAGAGAGAGAGAGAGCCAAAGAAAGAAAGAGAGATACATTCCAGATATTTATTGATTGATTGGTTGACTGTATGATTGATTCTTTACAATGATGTTTTCATTCATTTGAAAATGTCCCGGTCCCGGCAGTCCCGCTAATATTTAATCCTTCTGGTCTTTTTGCTTATAGATTTTCAACTGGTTTGATTTTTGTGTGTGTGTGTTCATTTGAAATGGGCTAACCAAGCATAATGAATTCTAGTAACAATTTTATCTCAGATGGTAGCCTCAATACTTTACTGTTCATTCAAAGTATCTGAGTATTTGCAATTTGTCAATATAGAGCAAGATAAACTGCAAGGGAGAGAAATCAATCAAAGTATACAAGTTGCCCATAAAAAAGGAAGAAAGGAGAAAGGTTGTATCAAATGAAATCGAAGCAATTGCTTTGTATGCCATTTGATATGGAAGGGAAAGAGACTGAAGAAACACAAACATCATATTAAATAAGAGAAGCTACAGCTGTTATATGGATCAAGTCTTTAACACTTCCAGGACCTCTTTGGGAACAATCTTTCGGGGAGGGGGGATGAAATAAGGATGGAGGGAGGGGGGAAACACTTTTGACCTTAGGCGTCACATGCAGTGCCTTTTTGAGCTGACAGTGAGGTGCCAATGTAACTTTGAGTCTCTGATTACTTCTCAACAGCAAGCTGGTTTTGGATTGGCTGTGCTAAACACATGGTGCATTTGGATAGTTGTGAGTTTAGGTGCTCCAGCACTAGCTCTACTAGTTCAGCACAAGACACGTGAGTGTAAATGTGGTTGAAGGTCAAAGGCTGTTGATGTGCCCTTGCTATGAACTGTTGTGATGGACGGGTAATGATGTCCTACTCAACTTTGAGGAGAGCACATGAGCGTGCATGTGGCCCGAAGACAGTTCTTGTTTGAGATTGGGTTTCCATCCTGCCTTCACGTCATCGCTGTCTCATATACAAAAATACACTCCTACATACTGAATGTCAGAGCATCTGAAAATAAGAAGTCCCCCTCACACACACACACACACACACACACAATCTTTGGTCATCAGTCTCTGGTTTGGTTTAAATGTTCCACGTGTCCGCCCTGTCCACACTATCCCATCCGAACCTCTGATCTCTGAATACACACACACCTGTGCAGACACACACAAAAATAATCTGCAGTCTCTGCTGCCTCTTGAACCCCTGCTCTGGTTTCTGACATCTCTGAGGAGTCGCACATGTCTCAAATGAAAGGAAGGCCTCACTGGGTCTTGATCGCTCAAGAATCCTGGCATGACAAAAACATTAACATACAGTTTGAGATGAGAATAGGATTGGATCAATTACTCTGAATGGCACTTCTTTTACAAGCAAGACATTGTTTTAAGTGGCACAGCTCAGGAGGCTCTCTTTTAGAAACTTTTTTTTGTTATATGAAACTAAGCATGTGTCCATCTTCACACTGGCTGAACAGGTATCAGTTCCTGACTCATCCAGCGTTTAGTTACCAATTAAAACATACTGACACACACGGGCACAGGTTGTGTTCTGGCTGTTAAAGAAGAGTTTGCAGTGATGATACTTACAGGCAGAGGGAACAAATGACTAAGAGAAATGTGTGAGTTATTTTTGGAGAAGAGAATGAGATGATGAAGAGAGTAGAAGGATAAGGGGTCATCATGAATGCCTACAAACACATGTCAGTCAGTCTAGTGTTTGATATGTGGATCATAACTATAAATTGTGCTAAAACCTAAACCAAAATGCGTTCTTGTCTTAGGACAGCTTTGATGAACTTTTTTGATCCACTTCAAATGTTGACTACTGTATATAACACCTAATGAAAAAAATATATATACTGCTTGATTATGTATAATATATGCATTCATATATGCATTGTACAGATTTGTTTCTATTCAGAAAGAGTATGTGAAAGAGAGAGAGATACTCTTAGTTTCTAATCTCCATTCGAGATATAAATACCTTGTGACAACATGTTGTGTTTGTGCGAGATAAACAGAGCTATTGTGCAGATCTCATTCAACACTTTGCGTGTGTAAAAAGAGACGGGATGTAGGGTGACTTTTTAAATCTAACTAAAATCAGATACAACAAGCAAAAGTGTGACAGAATAGAAAAATCATCATGTAAAATAACATAAATTACGCGCATTCCTAAAACGGCCTCAGATACTTGTATTAACAAACATCTGATGGTTTAGATGCTAGGCAATTAAATTAAATCCCGAATGAACTAAACAAGCATAAATCTGTTTTTAATGTAATTTATTGTTGGCTTGCGCGCGCTTGACATTGGAATCTAAATAAAGACTTAGTTGCGTCACAACAGCATTGTATGATATTAATTTATAGTTTTGTACGCAATATTAACGTGGTTAACATGGTTGTATTTATATATATATATAGATAAATAAGCGTCTTTGTAAGAGTTGGTAAATGCGTTAAGCGTTGTGTAACCTGTGATATATTAGAAGATTCCCCGGCTTCTGTTTGGTGGCCTGCTGGCCTTTTCTCTGGCCTTCCTCAAGCGTGAGACAGGAATTTTTCTTTTAGATAACCTTTTGCTCTGAATTCAGCCAAGAATGTGAGAATAAACAGAATAGATGTTCTCCCTCTTATTCTCACCAGTTTTGAAATGGCCAAAATTATCTTGATTTTATTTATTCGTTTGATTAAAAACCCGATTCGACTTGTATTATTATTGTTGTTGTTGTTGTTATATTTTAAAACAATAAGCAGATAATGTTTTAACATTTTGTTTTAATGCAAGCAAACTCACGAATTTTTAAATCGTAGAATATTTTCCGTATGTATTAATAATTCCACGTGACTGATCATTTTCGCTTTAATGCGTTTGTAAATCCAGATTTACAGATCCAGATTCAACTTTCGTCAATATTCGTTCCAATAGTTCTCTTCTCATTTCAGGATGTTCTCCTTTGCGTCTGGTCAGCTCCGGGTCGTGGTAAGTTCACCTGCTTTTTTAACACATTCAGTTGCATGAACCTTGACGGCCTGCTGAGTGGGTTGCGCTCCTTTTCACTTTTGATGGATTGTGAAGAAAAACATTTTTTTTTTTAGTTGGTCTTACACCATTTTTAACTACAGGGCAAACGGTCATGAAACTTAGTGCAGAATTCAATAATGGGATGCAATATCTTTACGCAGCCATATTCTAAACGTCAATAGCCATTACATCCAATATCAACCACCTTATTAATTCAATAACAACAACAACGAGACTGTGTTAAGCATATGTTGTGATTATTGTTAATAATAATAATAATATAATTGTTAAAAATAAATTAGCTAACAATTTTATTTAGAAATATTGGGTATTGTTCAACTATAACACTGCATGTAAGCTTTAACATATGAGCTTTTTCAACAGGTTAATCTCCCGCTATTTAGAGGACTTATGTAAGTAAATCACTAATAAAAATGCAATTTTAATGCAATTGAAAGTAAAACAGATGGGAATGCAAAAGTCAGTAGCATTAATAAGTTACAGTAGCTAAAGTAGTAATACATTTTTTTTAAAATGTAAAGAAAAAAATCTGCGCAGGTGCCCTCCTAATTAATTTAATGTGAGAAACACAAAGCACATGAGCTCACATTGTCAGGTCAAAATAGAAAATTGGTCAGCTACTGTAATTCTTCTTTAGTTTACTCGAAATATGTTTGTCCAAATATGTATGTAACTAAAATATCCTGACATTTCAAGAGTTTGTCGAAGTGAATTGTGTAAGTCTGTCTTGATAATATATTGCTTTTTCGTTTATTTACCTGCCATATTACACACTTTTCCTCGAGGTACTATTTCATAACCATGATTAAATGTTTATCAATAATTAAAATCTTAAATATCAATAAATGTTAAGCCATTCAGAAGTTACATTTTTTACATTTTTAAAACGTCTTAATGTTTTTTTTCTGTAATTCACGAATAATATGCAAGCTACTTGTTTCTAAATCGAAAGCTTTTAATTAAATAAATTTAAAAAATGGTTAAAATGGTTGTATTTATAAAATATGCAATTTTTGCACAAAAAAAAAAAGTGCGTTTACAGTGTGGTGGAATGATGGGGGTATCAAAGGTGCTGACCGGGGAGAGTGGAAGATACGGGTGAACAGCTAAAAAATCAAGAGAGACCAAGTGAAGCCCCAGAACGGTGCTCGCGGCGCAAGCTGAAGGGCGAGACCTGCGTGTGACCCCGGCGAGATGGAAGCCCTCCTGACAGGGTGACCTGCCTATTTCGAGTATTAATTTGGCCTGAACTCTGCTTGAACCGAGGCCAGGGGAGAAGCAGTCAGGGGATGTTTGAGGCAGCACACAGGGCAAACCTGTCCGCCTGAGCAAATATTGGGGTAGTCCGTCAGAGGATCGTGGATGAAATGGAGCTGTCAAGCCCGCGTAAACTTTGCGGAAGAGGTGAGGTCACAAGGGGGAAAAAAGTTCGTTTCCTCAAAAGTTCGAAAAAACCCCTCCACTAGTTCTCTTCACCACTTGTCAGCACCCTCTAGCTCAGAGTTCATCCCCCCAGTTCTTTCACCGGAGTTTGCCCTCTCTCACTCACCTGCTTTGCTCCGCATGTGTTTTTGAGGTTGGCACAAATGAAAACTGAGAGTTCCTCAATTCTGATGTCTAATTTGAACGAAAGTCTATCAGTAGAGCACAGACGGAAAACAGATGTGTGCGCGCGTGTACTTATGTGACGCTCATTATTCAATGAGATTTTCTTTTAAGGTGACCTTTTTATAATGAGCAATGACTCGAAATTACACTTCCAGAGGGAAAACCCCTCAGTGTATGTCCAATCTTTGTGACAAACCTGAACAAGTCCTGTAGATACTGTGATGTAAAATAATTGGCAATACGTATACACTGTATAAAAAAAATGCAACTGCATATTTTCCAGTTTACAACACCTTTTGAGTAGTACATAAAACCCTTGTCAGACCAACAAAATTACCCCAAATGTTGTCCCAACTAGTGAAAGTTGTCTGAACAAATAATTTCATATTGCTGAAATGTTAAGGCTATGTGAGTTCCCAGCATGCATTGCAGCATGAATAAATTATGCAGTTACTGTTATAGGATTGTTGTTTTGCTGTTTGCTGTTTGCTGACTTCATTTAAACTTTTTGTTGTTGTTTTGTCATTATTGTTCGTTATTTGTTGTGCTGTGATGTAAAGAGTTCAACTTTTTAACATTTGTTGATTGCCACCATGGTTTGTGTATCAAGTTTTGAGTCATAGAGTATATGTTCAACCGTTTAAATCCATTTTTTGGTCCCACTTTATATTAAGTGGCCCTAATACCTCTGTACGTACATAGTAACTAGATGTGTACATAGTATGTAACCAAAGTGTAAGTACATATTGGTACATAGTATCTACAGCTCTAATGTTTGTGTAGCTACACATATGTAACAACCCACTGAATGGTATGTGTAAGTACAAGTGTGTAACAGGACATTGGTAACAACACTTTTTGGTAATGAAAGTACAAATGAGTAACAGGACTAACAGCACTTTTTGGTGAAAAGAAAGTGTTACACTTTATATTAGATTTGCCTTGTAATTGCTCTGATGTTACACAGCAGCAGCCAGTAAGTTAGGCTTTACGTATACATTTTGGTTGGTGTCCCAAATGTTACACTTTATATTAAGTGGACAGTTCCTGAGGAGTTACCATGTAAGTACACTGGTATTACAATGGTGCACCAACTCCACCAACTTGAGATCCAACGCCTCCCACTTTACATATCCCTAAACCTACCCATCTCCACCCCCTGGCTCAAATGGTTCCAATTACTCTTATACATATTGTTGTTACAAAATATAGTTATATATGTCCTGTTACACATTTGTACTTCCACAAATCATTCGGAGGGTTGTTACATGTGTGTAGTTACAGAAATATTACAGCTCTAGATACTATGTACCAATGTGTACTTACACTGTGGTTACGTACTACGTACACATCTAGTTACTATGTAAGTACACAGGTATTAGGGCCACTTAATATAAAGTGGGACCCTTATTTTTCATCCAGGAAACAAAAAAAATTATTACCTCAACAACAATAATTGTTGTTTCAGTTGCTGCAAAAAAAAAAGTATATATATATAACCAAAATAAGACAATCAGCATTGCATGAACAAATACATTTATGTTGGCTAAACAAAGTGTCTTTGCTGAAAAGACCTATAAAACTATTGTTGAGACAACTCAAAAGTTTTCGTCAAGTTGCCTTATTTATTTATTACATTTTCTCAACTATTTATTTTTTACAGTGTAGGTAAACACAAATCACAATATATTTAAAAAGCCTACTAATATGAGGGATAACAAATTTAATAATAATCGAATTGTTCATTTTGCATATAGGCCTATATGCATTTTGCCTTTCAAAGCCATTACATATGTATTGTTTTTGCTATGGGAAATTGAAGAAAAGTCTGAGACTCGTCCAGTTTTTTGGCAAAGAGTTCAGTTAAAGTTAAGGGTGACCTCCATGTAAACCCCCTTACTGTAAGCATTACTTTACGTTTCAATGCAGACTACGGATGTTGACCGCGGGGGCAGCGCTTGGATCAAAAGCCCGTTCAGGGGGGTACAGGACAAACACCCCGAACAGCGTGACTGAAATCTGCACCAGCAGATGGTCGAGAGAGTATCATAGAGCAATTGCTGTATCGTCTTCATTCCCAGTTGTATCGTGGGCCAAATCGTTTGTATTTGTTTAGATTGTGTACATATTTTGAGGCTAGTTATTATCTCTTAAAATGCAACATTATATTTTTATGGAATAAAAAAAAATCTCTTAAAAAGTTTCTAAAAGGTACTTTCGTATTATTAGGGACATTGTGAATCCTAAATTGGTATAATGACATTGAAGTCGTAATTCGTATATTCAATCATAATTAAATGTATAAAGGTTTTTGAACATTTCTTTATCGTTGTTGCGGAAACCATTCCACTGCCTAATAAGTTTTTGCCTTTGCTTAAAGGAACTGCTTGTTACAATATGTGTTGTCTTTCTTGCCACAAAAGCACTGGCCTGGTGAGAGAGATGCGTTTGAGTAACAGAACCACCCAGGGAGCTGGGGTGCCTGAATGCCACTGCAGTCCAGCATTGTTTTCCTCTGAAGTAGACCTAATGTTAACCCTGCTGCAAAGACCAAACATGTCTGTCATGGCACAATTTTAATTACGGATTTTTAAGAGTGTCTTTAATGATTTGATATGTCAATTGCAATAATATTTTAACAGCCGTCAGAATTGGAGTGCTAATGTAAACTGTCAAAGTCGATATTTGTTCACCTTTATGAATGCTTTATTTGTTGTTGAGCGCTTGAGAATGATAATGCAATGCATGTAGCGGACTATTCTAAGGATTTATGGTTTTGAAAGTGTTTAATGTGTTTAGCGAGTAAATAAGAAGCCCATTCATAACAACACTCAATAACTCAAATGCACCGCCCACAATTCTGTTCCGTTTCTTGGAAGCTTGTCTTCAGGATCAGTGCTATTTGTGCCACCCCTAAACCATTCAGAGAAGAGAGTCTGTTTGGATGTTTAGATAGAAGCACACCGAGGTAAAAAGGTCATCTTTAACCACCCTGATTTCTCAACAACATTCCGTTCCGTTCTCCGAGCATCCTATAACACAATTATAAGGTCGCTTTCTCACCTTCTAAGTGAAGAGAAGAACTATTAAAGCTTTGTCATAATTTACTCCATACTAACATTTTTCTTATATTACATATACACACGAATACATATGTAATCTGGTTGCAGAGACTGGTTGAGTAAAATATTGTTTTTATTTGAGGTAGATAAAGAACTTGACAGAAGCATTTGATTGAGACATTTAGGTTACGGAATCATACAGACAGCAACTAATAAAACTCAGCTCGTCTTCGCATAAAAAAATACTAGGCTAAAAGATCAAATTATTTAAATGTTTTAATTAAGAAAAGTACATATTAAACAGCCTGCATTGCTTTTTTTCTACAAACGGAATAGAACTTTACCAAAATTCACATTTTTATAGTAAATTATGCCTGGCTTGCAGCACAGTATTAATTATTTTTCGCTGTAAATTGAATAATTGAATATCACAGTGCACACTGAGAAGGAATCGTTCATATAGTCCAGTAAATTGTGCTGGTGTTCAGTAAAGGCCTACCCTGTAAACGTATAGTGCAAGGAGTCCGAAAGCCCCTATAGCTACAATCCTCAAAACTCAAATATATGAAATGTGTACATCAAATTAAAAATAAATTTTCATAAACGCAACAAAAAACACCAATACATATTTTGACAACACCTTAAGCTCCCTGTAAAGTCAGTTAGGTTCGTTTAGAGACTTGTAAACATTGTGAAAGTGCATTATATTTATAATAGTAGAAATACCCTGTATAACACACACAAACGTTTCCAGGGAGTATTGGAAATTTTGTTCGCGCAGACGGTGTAACTCTGTTCATTGTTGTGCTAAAAAGTCTCTTTGCTCTTCACTTTTTCGCCTGAAGTTCGGTTTCCTTAAACGAATCGTCCATCATAAAAAGACGAGAAGGTCTTTCGGGCACATTGTGGAATGCTTAAATTAATAGACTTTACTATATATTTCGAATCTGTTGTTTAATGCACCCGAAACTATGATAATCGGTTAGGAATCCGGGCTTGGAGAAGCTCCTGGAGATGTTGAAGTTGAGTGATCAGAGTGATCCTCGAGGTCTTTAGACAAGGTGGACGAAGCAGACGCGAGTCCCTCCTTCTCTCGCTTCTTCTGTTTCATTCGGCGGTTCTGAAACCATATCTTAACCTGTGTCTCATTCAGCTCGAGCGTGGCAGCAATTTCGACTCGCCGCGCTCGCGTGAGATATTTGCTGAAGTGAAACTCTTTCTCGAGCTCCGTGAGTTGTTTCGTTGTGAAATTCGTCCGGATTGTGTTTTGTGGTCCCAATCCGTAATCGGCCACTTTAGCTGCAAGGAAAAAAATAAAGAATAGTTAAATGGCTGTTTGTCAAACAATTACACACAGAAATAAAAGACCATAGTCATAATTCAACGGCTTATTTTGTAAACACATCAACAACAATCAAGTGTGCTTCTGTTCTTAAACTTTATTAGATGTGACCATTTAAATTGAACTATCACGCATGAAATTCAACAAGTTATACGGTATTGCAAACTTTTGTTAACCTTACCATAATTACCCCGTTTGTATATGTTATCACTTTTGAAAGAACTCATAACGGGGTCTATGGAATACATGCAATGCAATACTCCCCAAAGGTGGCTTTATGACCACTCAATTTGTACGGTATGTCTAAATGGTGGCCTCCGTGCGTAAAAGTTGGTGCACTAAATCGTTGTGAGGCAAACACTGCTGGGACAGGAGACGAAAGCTTAAGAACACAATGGAGGCCAACAAAAACGAATGTTGCGAGGCGAGAACCGGGGACAAGCTAAGGATAACAGTGCTGGTGTATTTCCAAGGGCGAACGAAAGCATGTCTGTTCGATGCATTAACGCAGAGGGAGACGGGTTGAAACTGAAGTAAACAGGCCTATTTTCAACTTATCTGTCTTTAGATATTTTAGGTAAATAGTTTCTAATTTGTGTATAATGTTATTTTTTTGGGTGATCTGCAAGCTTATTTGCTGTAAGGATAGGTGTAAGGCATAATTGCTCTTGATTTGAGTGTGCAGCTCCTAGATATTTTCGTCACAGAGGCAATTCAGTCCACCTGTTTTAGGAGGATTCCTTTTGACTTTCATCCAGTCGAATGTCTTCCCAGGTGGCGACTGATCCGTGTCCCTCTCCCTCCCTTGGGAGGCCGATAAGTCGGCGTAGGTGCCTTGTGAGTAGCCTCGCTGGTGGTCCTTGCCTTCGCATCCATGATGCTGATAAGGTGCGGCTGGAACGGCTCCCTGCGCCCCGCAGTATGCACCAGGCATGGAGCCATAGTGAGGACCGACATTTGAGTTTGAAAACCCCGATGAGTGATAATACATCCCTTCTTGTTCAGGGTTAATGGAATACTGGTGTTGAGCATAGTCCGGGTTGGCGCAGGCCTGGGTCCCATAATTCGTAGTCCCCGTGCCACCGTAGGTAAGGCCAATGCCACTCTGATGAGTTTGGTGCTGGTGATGCGCGTAGACGCCGCTCTGGTGCTGATGTTGTGCTGCTGCTGGCTGGTTGCTCCCTCCTACGTAAAGTCGTCCATCAGCGTTATAGCTGTCACTTGCGTGTCCGGTATGGAAGGGGCCCGAGAACGCCTGATCCAAGTGGTGGTTTCCAGCCTTGGGCGAGTAGGCGTTCGGCCCACGGTTACAAATTGTGTACTCCAAAAAAGAGTTCATTCTGGAATTGTCCATGCGCAATTAATGGCGGAGGGTCAGCCTGAGAGATCGGGATAGCCTCCTGTCCTGCAAGCTCGCAACAGTATGTCATGCGGAAGGGGGAAATGCTTACCTCTGGAGTATTTGCTCATGCTTCCCTATAACACATCTTTACCTCAGCTGCTGGTCACGTGAGACGTCACGGCGCCAATGGTGAGGGGACCTCCAGAAGTTTGTCAGCGCACGGCGACCATCCATCACGCGCTTGACATTTGCATGACAAAGCCACTTCAATCAAACTAGCCCATCAATCTGATAACAGCTAGAATATGTCAAACCCTGCCAAAAAGGCACTCCGAATGAGAGAAATAAAGAACGTTTCAGACTTTGCATTGAGATTTTGTTCTTCATCTCCTCTCATCTCTTCACTTACCAGCCGCATTTAGTTTCTAGTTTTAATCGCGCGAGTTTAGTGAATAATGCGTTTTCTTCGTATACTGTAGCCTAATGGGCTGAGGTAGGCCTAGGTTATTGTCCTCTTTAATAAGAGTAATGTTCAGTGTTACCTATAAGACTAGCCGAACGCAGAGTTCATTATGTGTGTTTAGGAAGGAAATCTCTTTAACACTCGAATTGGAAGTGACGCAAGGTTCACAGATCCGTCCGGGTTGGCTTTGGACCCGTCTAATTGAATCATTGAACTGATCTGTTACCAAAACCAAATTAGGTCGACAGCGAGCCTTCTGTTTAGTCCAAACGAGTAGGAAAAGAACGCCAGCGAGTGCCTTTTTCTCTCACAGCCTGTAGAAACGTGTGTTGCGGCATTGCTGTCTGGAATTGTTCTCTTTTTCCATTGTTTTTTCCCCCTTGTTGAATCCAACTGCAGATCAAAGTGTGGAAGATAGTCTTTACAGTTTGTAACTTTCGTTTTAAAACAGTAGGCTATAAAGCACGCGTTCTAAACATAACTTCCCAAACTTTAGGATTGTAAGTCAAACTAATGAGTTCATCTGCACCATGTATTGCTTGACAGGCGTTGGTGGACAGCAGAAGAGAGAAGCTAATAATTAATTAAGATGACAATGCTGAGCAAGTCTTCCTCTTCATATAAAGCCCACGCTCAATATAGGGGGCTGAAGAAGTTCGAATATATTTGCTCATTAGTACATGGTGGTACAAGAAAGGGTAACAATATAACGCCCACAGTGATTTGTTATCTGTCGGTTCACGTGCCGAGTGATTGTCTAGTTGCGCAGCCAAAGATTCCAAATTACCTTGAGCAGTTTTGTTAGTACTGTTGTAGCTCTGCCCTACACTCAAGAGTCCTGAATGCTTCTGGTCTTGTGGTTGTTTTAAACGAATCCATCAG